CTCTGCAGCCTCTTATCTGAGTCTTTAATTCATTTTTCCAGTATCCTTGATGGCAATATTTCTCAATAGGAGCTTTTGTTTTCCCATACTTTAAGGAACCATCTGAGCCATTAATTCACATCATTTCCTGAATCTTTGCTAGGGTTTTAAATCTTGTAAACACTCTCCCATTGATTTATTTTCCCATATTCCATTGTGCTCTAGATCCACTAATCATGCTCCTGAGATTTCACGCCTGTGCACACTCTCGCAGTACCTACGGGTACTGATAGCTAGTAAGATCTTGCAGTCACTGTCTCCCATATTCTCTTTCCTATCTTATTACTTTCTATACACCCAGAAAGGTTATACTGTGATTTAGACCTAGTTACAGGCCCAGTGGCCAAGATGAGAAGTAAGAGCAGGTTCCAGGGTCAATCCATGCCATCTTAAAGAGGAAAGGCATGGTTAAATCTTCAAGAAAGGTGAAGTTCCAGACTTTAAGTCAAAAGTGAGACAGTTTTGAGTAATTAAAAAATTTAGAGAGATGTAGGAGATGCAAAATATTCAATGGACAACAATCAAGACGTTCCATCCTATGAGCCACAGGGTCATATTTCTTTCTAACCAAGGCTTGGGTCTAATATAGAAGATTTGGTAATTATTTTAACTTTCTTTGAAGCTTACCTTTTAAAATAATTCCCGTGCCTGCTCTTCATATTTCTCTTCCTGTACATTAAAGCTCATATAATCTATGCAGGAAGCTCTCTTGCTTTTGAATATAGCTTTTAGGTTTTAATTTATTTAAGTTACTTTTCCAGTTTTTTAAATGCCAATCAAATGTAATAGCTTTCCCTATATATAAAATTTATACCATGTTTGTCAAAGTACTTAAAATTTTATTCTTAGATTTATGTATTTTTATGTGTTTGAGGGTTTTGTCTGCATGCATGTATGTGCACCATGTACATGCCTGGTGCCCACAGAGGTCAGAAGAGGGCATTGAATCCCCAGGAGAAGGACTTACAGATAGTTATAAGATATCACATGGGGACTGGAAAACAAATTTGGATCCTCGGCAAGAACAAGTGCTCTTAATGAGCCTTGTCTCCAGCCCCACTTTTCACGTTTTGACCATATGGTACCAGACAGTCCTTTCATCAGCAAACTCCCTCTAGCCATTCCTGTGCCACCTCATTCCATTGTACCTATGTAACTTTCCACCAATGATGGGGTTCACGCTGACAACTGATCAGCAAGAAATCTGTCTAGAATAATTCCTCCCAGTGTTTGTTTTCTTGAAGAGCTTCTTGTATCGATTTTTTGAAAGTTTGTTCTCCAGGGAGCAGACAAAGACAGAGAATAGCATGAAAGATTTTGTTAGGGAATCCCATGGGATAAGCATCCACTGAATGGGAAAAAGGGGGGAAGAAGGGATGGACAGAGGGAGCCAATAAGCTGTCCCAAATCATGTCTATCAGTCATTGGACACAAAATGCCCCCAGGAAGTGGGTATGATCTTGGGGAGGTGACTGTCTTCAACTGATGCATTTCTGGAGCTGCAAGACAGTTGAGAGCTTTCTAACATCACTGCTAACAAATGAAATAAGCACTTCATTCCTGTAGGGGGATCAGGCAGCAGATAATAGAATCCATCACAATGTGATATCATTTTTTAAGACAGAGTCTCTCTACATAGGCCTGGCTGTCCTGGCACTTACTATGTAAACCAGGCTGGCTTCAAACTTGCAGAAACCCTCCTGCTTCAGCTTCTGAGGTACTAGGATTAAAGGTGTGGGCCACCATGCCTAGCCTGTGATACCATTTCTTTACAGTAAAATATTGGTGTTTCTCAAACAATAGATTTGAGGACTGTTTGGTTTGGTTTGGTTTGGTTTGGTTTGGTTTTTATTATGGCTCACTATTTTGTCCAGCCTTTCTGATTCAGTCATCTGGCTAGCTAGGACAATAAGTATACGCCACTGAACATGGATCAATAATACTTTCACTTTGCATAATAGTTAAAGAGAACAAAAATTTTAAACTGGTACAGTTTTATTTAAACCTTTAAGTTATACCTTCCAAATATTTAGATATAATATGTGAACCTTTATTTAGCCTTTTGTTCTAGGGTTTTCAAATGTGACTGACAGTCCTGCCCATCCAAAATAAATTCTTTGATCTTGGGTTAAACTATACAAGAAACTTCTATTCACTATATAAAAATGATAAAAATACAGATTAGTTTTAAAAAGCAGATGGGACTGAAGAGGTGGTTTATCAGTTAAGAGTACCTGCTGCTCTTGCAGAGGACTTTGCTTTGGGTCCCAGCACATACATGGTGGCTCACAACCATCTGTAACTCCAGTTCCAAAGGATCCAACACCATTTTCTGGCTTCTGAGAGCAATAGGCATCCACATGGTGCACATACATACATGCAGGTAAACACTCATACATATAAACATAAAGGAAACTGTGATGGAACATGTCTTTAATCCCAGCACTCAAAAAGCAAAGGTAGGTGGATCTCTGTGAGTCCAAGGATAGCTTTGTCTACTTAGTGAGTTCCAGGACAACCAGGGCTACACAGTGAAACCTTGTCTCAAAACTAAATAAAGAATAAGTAAATCTTTTTTAATCTTTAAAAATGATAAAAAAAAAACTCTCATCAGTCTAATTCTCATAAAAATTATTAATGTTCTCATAATATATAACAGTTCATTTTAGAGGCCATTTTATTGTGTGTGTAAGTGTTTATATGTGTGTGCATGAGGAGGCCAGAGGTCATCTTGACTGTCTTCCAAGTAGACTGGTTCTTCTTCCTTTTGTGGGGGGGTATTTTTTAATACTAGTTTACTTTCTTAAAATTCGTATATATGTGTATATCTGAATGTACACCATAGGTGCGTGGGTTCCCACTGGTGCTGGAAGAAGGTGTCAGATCCCTTAAAGCTGGAATTTCAGATGGTTGTGAGCTGAGAAATGTTCTCAGGTTCTTTGCAAGAGCAACACGTACCCTTAAGGCTAAGGCATGGCACCAGTCCTCCACATTAAGTTGTGTTGTTGCGGTTGTTGATGTTGTTGTTGTTGTTTTCAGACACTGTCCCTCCTTGAACCTGGACCCACTGATTGTCTAGATCGGATAAGCAACAAGCCCAAGGGATCATCTTGTTTCTGAGTCTGCAGTACAGGGATTACAGGCAAGATCTGCCAGTTTAGCTTTTTACGTGAGTACTGGAGATCCAAACTCAGGTAGGTCCCCATGATTGCACCAAAAGCCCATCACTGAGTCCATCTCCCCAGTCCCTTAGGGATCATTCAAACGCGCATTTTTTCTTCATGGAAAGCATGTATGCTTTTACAATCTGTTTTCCTACTGAGGATTACATGCTGAGTTCTCTGCCCTAAATGCAGATGTCTATTTGAAATAACCCTATACTTTTTCACCCTTCAAAACAGTTTGAAGATGCACAACTTACTGCAAGCCTATTATTTTACTTGCTCCTAAAGGTAGATTTCTACAAATAGAATTATTGGGTAAAATGGCATACACAGGACTGGTGAGATGGCTCAGTGGGTAAAGGCACTTTGCTGCCAAGCTCGAAAACCTGAATTCAATCCCCAGAGCTCACACGGTGGAAAGAAAGACCTAGCTCCTACAAGGGACCTCTGCATGTGCACCATGGCAAGCTCCTTCCCCCAACACACACACACACACACACACACACACACACACACACACACACACACTTAAAGGCATTGCAGCTTTCTATAAACTGCAAGAATTTCACAAACATCCTCCACCCTCAAACTAAACAAAACTGTTTTTTAAAAGCTATTTTCCCCTACTAATTTCCTTTTCCTCGTTTCCTTTTGAATACAAGGAAACTAAGGCAGTAGATAAGGACCGAAATGCTCAGTAGCATATGCTATATGCAGCCAGCCACACAGTCTGAATGCTCACACACACATATAGATACGCTTGCCAGTACTGTGGGGTAGAAGAAAATTGCATCTCCTCCCCTGTGGTTCCCAACATCACTCTTGATGGTACCGTGAAAATCAACTCCAACCAACCTTACTAAAGAAATCCTGGTGTAAGAACTAAAATTCATTTTTCTTTCAACTATTTTTTCTTATTAATTCAAAAACAATTTTCTTATGCACTTATAAAGTCATCAAAATTGGCCATGAACGAGTGCATGATTCCATGCCCTAAAATAAAACTGATCCTCTTTATATGTCCCCAGAATAAGCTGGAACACTTACTTGGTACAAGGCTTTCTGACCCCAGACACAGTGGTGACTCAGGCCTACACTCCCTTTGCTTGTAAAACTGAGGCTGGAGGATTACCAGGAGTTCAAGGGCAGCCTTGTCTACATAGTAAGTCACAGAAGAGAAGTCTCACTTATGTTCTGTCCTTACGATCGCCATGGGAACTAATGGCATTTCAGATGCTTATCGTCTCATGCTTCCCCGATGACGGTAGCTCCCTAGCTTATTTCCCTATCTCTCGTCACCAGTCCCGTCCTCACGCCAACTTGGACTCATCCTGAACACAAATCGACCACATTATTTTTCTTTCATCCTCTGATCGCGAAAGTCCTTGTTGTTTTCAAGAATAAATACAATGTTCAGACACTTTAGCAATCAGAGGTGCTCCATAAAGAATTCATGCTGACGTCTTCGCTCGTTCACCCCCTCTCGTGGCCCTCCTGCATCATTCTACCCAGGTTATCACGAGCTGGCTGCCCCACTTCCTCGCCTTTCTTCCTCCAATTCTCCCTCCTCAGATGACCTTTTTGACCTTCTGTGGTGTATTCTTCAAGCACAGCTTGCTTAAAGAGACCCCCTTTTCCATAAAGCATTCCCTGAGCGCTGATGCATTGTGCAGCAGTTTCTGTTGGGAAACTTCAGATGGGAAGCAGCTGTCTGGGGCCGGAAGACTCCCGGTTTTACTTCCATGTAACCTTATCTTTCTAAACAGACTATAAACCCAAGGATGAAGACAATAGCTCTTTTTTTTGCTTTTTAAAACACACAACTTTATTGATGACATAAAAATAAAGTCTCAAATGTATAAACATAAGTCCACACAAAGGACCGAAGATTACCTTACTTATGAAGAATCAGTTTGGTTTCTGCTCATGAAGCATACTAAAAATATCTCAATCCAGACAAGATAAAAATTGACATATGTATTTCCAGAACAAACTTGAATTCATTTGGTGTTCATAAAATTGTCCAGCTATAGACTCTCATAGGCAACATTTAGTTTCAAAGTTCTAATGCAATTTACAATGTACAACATGTCCAGGGTATAAAATTAAAATGTTACTCAAACTTTAAGGGGAACAGATAGCCAATCAGAGTTTATTTATTAACACCTCAACTCTTTCTTTCACCTCTGGGTCACTACAATCTGCTGCTAAGGCCCTAAGTTTCTTGGCACAGGCTTTAGGTCGTTGAAAAAGGAAATAAAGGGAACTTTTACTGAATCTGTCTTGGGGATAAGTTTTTGCTCTTTTTTTAAAATGACGATTTATATTTTCAAAAAGTAAAAGGGCGTTAAGGATATTCTCTTTTGTCTCCTTCTTGCTAAAAATGTTAATCAGTGCTGTTGGTGCATTGGCAATGAGCAAGTCTCTTGTCATGGATGGATTTTTAGAGAAATTCACAAGCATTCCCAAAACATGGTCTTTAGTTTCTCCACTTCCCATAGCCAGCAAACGGAGAAATTCTGAAATATAATTGGTAACCATATGCTGATATTCACTAGTAATAGTCAGGTGTCTTATCAATCTTAGTCCAGCTACTTGCACATTTGAATTTAAGGGATAGGTGACAGTATCTTCACATACTTGACTTAAATATGTCTTAACCTTTCTGTGGTTTTCAGCAGCAACTGAGATGTTATTCAAAGCATTTAAAGCCTTTTGCCGGACAGTAGGGTGGGGATTACTCAGTAAGCTTTGGATAACCGAAATTCCACCTATATTCCGATCAATTTCCTGGGGATAAGGATAATCAGCACTGTTATACAGTGCGTTCGTGGCTATTTCATGAACAGAAGGATCTTCAGTCATTTCAATCATGCAAATGAGCTTTTCAAGATCTTCCGGGTCCAGATTAGCATCACGTCTACAGCGGCAGTTGCAGGAATGCACCTTGTCTCCGGCACCGGCTTGCCTTCTGAAGCCATCTTCACCTGGAAAGCTGCTTTGGTGTAATAGCTTGCTTTCTGAACAAACTATGGTTCCATCCCATACACCCATTCCTGCCCCAGGGACCATGGATGGATAAATGCCACTTGGTTCAGCTGACCTTTTGGCTTTCACCTGAGATGTAGATTCATCACCGTCACATTTGTTTTCATTACCAATACAGAACCAAGACCGTATGTCAACTCCATCAGCAGCATCTTTCGTGCTGGCCTTATCCCCAGTCCCAGATTCAGAATTGGCATCGTTTTCATTTGTAGATCTGAGGTCATTATTGTCCTCATTGTCAGCCCCAAACAAGTTTCTTAGACTGATCTCTTCAATACCGGGGCTGGATTCTCTACTTAGCTCCTCCTCCTCATCATCATCATCATTTATATTTGGAGAAAAAGTCCAAGACCCTAAGCCAGCCTCTACCTCTGTCCCAAGCCTAGACCCTTTAGAGGCTGCATCTCCATCCCAGGACCAAAGCTCCATTCTGGTTTCAGCCCCACCCTCTGCAACAACTCCAGCCCCAGTTTCAGTCTCAAGCTTAGACCCTTTGGTGGTTGAGTCTTCATTCCAAAACCAAAAGCCCATTCTGGTCTCAGCCCCTGTCTCAGCCACGACTCCAGCCCCAGCCCCAGCCTCAGTCCCAAGTCTAGACCCTTTAGAGGCTGCATCTCCATCCCAGGACCAAAATTCCATGTTGGTCTCAGCCACAGATTCAGACACAGCCTCAGTTCCTGTTCCAACTCCAGCCTCAGTCTCAGCCCCAAGCCTAGACCCTTTAGATGCTGCATCTCCATCCCAGAACCAAAATCCCATGCTGTTCTCAGTCACAGCTTCGGCCTCTGCCCCTGCCCCTGCTCCTGCTCCTGCCCCTGCCCCTGCCCCTGACCCTGACCCTGACCCTGACCCTGCTCCTGTCCCAATTCCAGCCTCAGCCTCTGCCTCAACTCCAAGCTTAGACCCTTTAGTAGCTGCATCTCCATCCCAGAACCAAAATCCCATGCTGTTCTCAGTCCCAGCTTCAGCCTCAGCCCCTCCCCCAACTCCAGTCTCTGCCTCAGCCCCAAGCCTAGACCCTTTAGTGGCTGCATCTCCATCCCAGGACCAAAATCCCATTCCAGCTTCTGACCCAGCACCTGCCTCAACTCTAGTAGCAGCCTCAGCACCAGTCTCAGACTCAGCGGCAGCCGCAGCTGCTGCCCCAACCTCTGCCCTAGTCTCCACTCCCACCTCAGCCACAGCCTCTGTCGGCCCAGCTCCAGCCTCAGCCTCAGTTCCAACCTTGGCCTCTGTGTCAACATCAGCCTTAGCTCCAGTCACGGTGGCAGCCTCACCTCCAACACATGCGCCTGTGAAAGCTGTCTCCTCAGATCTGGTCGAGGACTCGGTACTTGGCTTCTTTTCATCCGTCAACCCAGAACTAATGATGCTTTCTTCCCTAGTCCCTGACACGGTGGAGTCACTGGTCTCATCTTTAAAACCAGCTACAGGCAAAATAGTAGCCTCTTCTGTCCAGCACCAAGACCCTATAAAGGCCTCACTCCCAGGCCCAAACCAAAATCCTTCATTGGCCTCCACCTCAGCACTGACAAGGAATCTCCCACTGGCCTGGTCTTGAGTATCTAGCCTAGATCCTCCACTGGCTTCATTACTAGACCTAGATCCAGGCCAAGATTCTCCACTAGTCTGGTTCCCAGCACCAGGCCAAGAGCTTCCACCACATGCTTGATCTTCAAATCCAGATTTAGTCTGCTCCACAGACCCGACCCAGGACCCTCCACTGACCTGACTCCCAATGCCAGCCCAGGACCCGCCACCGGACTGATCGGTGGGGCATGTTCCAGACCCTCCAACGACATGACCACCAGCTCCACCCCAGGAAACTCCTCCACTAGACTGATCCTCAGACACAGCTGGCCTGGACCCTGCAGTGGTCTGGTCCCCAGCACCAGTCCAGAATCCTCCTCCCGTGGCCTGATCCTCAAATCCAGGTTTGGAACAGCCACTAACCTGATCACCAGTCCACGACACACCGCCGACCTGAGTCCCAGTGCCAAGCCAGGATCCGCTACTAGACTGGTTCACCTGCACTGGCTTCGACCCTCCAACATCCTGACCACTGGCCCCACCCCAGGAGCCTCCTCCAATGACCTGACTCGAAGTGTAAGTGCAGTACCATCCACCGGTCTGATCTCCAGGGCCAGGCCAAGACTCTGCATTAGACTGGTCCCTGGACCCCATCCTAGATTCTCCACCAGACTGGTCCCCAGAGCCAGCCCAGCATCCTCCTCCACTGGACTGATCTACTCCACCAGCAGTCAGTTCTCCAGACCCAGGCTGAGATTGTGCATTGGCCTGGTCCAAAGGCCCAACCAAGAACCCTCCACTGAGTTGGTCTCCAGAATTTGCCCATGATCTTCCAGCAGACTGATCCTCAGGCACTGACTTGGACCCTCCAGTGGCCTGGCCAATAGTGCCAGTCCAAGACCCTCCATCGCCAGTCTGGTTCTCAAAACCAGGTTTGGATCCACCAACAGACTGATCACCAGTCCCTGTCCAGGACTGATTCCTAGTGCCAGCCCAAGACCCACTAGACTGGTCTGCAGCCCCTGATGTAGATACGCCACCAGCCTGGTTCCCAGTGCCAGGCCAGGCTGTACCACCAGATGGATCTACAGTCCCAAGCCTGGATGCTGCACTGGCTTGGTTTGCGGTCTCAGCCCAGGACCTTCCACTGGACTGATCTTCGGGTCCCAACCTGGACTCTCCACTGGGCTGGACAACAGCTCCAGCCCAGGTCACCTTTTCACTGGCCTGATCTTCAAACCTTGGCTTGGCCTCACCACCAGTCTGATCAACAGTCCCTGTCCAGGCCACCGCATTGGTCTGGTCTACAGCCCCAGTCCAGTATCCAATACTAACTATGTTGCCAGCTCCAGTCCAAGACACTGCACCAGCCTGGTTATCAGCCACAGTCCAGGTCCCAGTAGCCTGGTCCACAACCCAGGACACTCCACTGGCCTGGACTGCAGGCCATGACCCATCACTGACCTGACTCACAGCCCAGGGCCCGGCAATGGCCTGGTTTCCAGAGACAACCCAAGAACCTGCACTGATCTGGTTCTCGACCCCAGTCCAGGAACCTCCACTGACCTTGTCCCCAACCCAGGCCGCCTCGGTAGCCTGAGCTCCTGCCCAGATAGCTCCGCTGGCCTGGTCAGCACTTACCCAGGACCCAAGAGCAACCTCATTCTCAGGCCTAGCCCCATCGCAAGCCACGGCCCAGGAACTAACAACACCAGACTTATCATTAGCCCCAGTCCAGGGTCCAATACTGGCTGCATTCTCCTCCTCGGTCCAGGACACACTATTCTCCCAGTCTCCATCTATGGTCTGAAATCTAAATTTGATCCACCGCTCAGCAGCAATCCAGTCCTCAACACCAATTCCATTCCAGTAATAATCGTGCATGTTAGGCTGAGCAGCTACCACGCTCACCATTTCTGCGGTAGGCACAGCACCTGTGACCGGCCTCGCATAGATCTTATTGTCTGCAGGGGCTGCTACCTGCAAACTGGACACACCCTTATCCCTAGCTCCAAGCAAGGCTCCGTTCTGGGAACTGACCACAGCCTGGGGCTGAGCAGAGCTCCTCGTCCCTGTTTTGGCTCCTGATTTAGTACTAGCATTGGACCTAATCTTATTCCTGGCACTCAGCAAAGGTTCATTCTGGGAGCTGACCACAGCCTGGGACTGGGCAGAGCCCCTTGCACCCAACCCAGCCTCTGCTTTAGGCACAGTGTTGGAATTACCCCTGACCTTATTTCTGGCACCAAGCAAGGCCTCAGCCTGGGAAGAAGCCAAAGCCAGTATTGTACTTGCCCCAGAATCTGCCTTAGGCACAGAATTGGAATTGCCCTTGACCTTATTTCTGGCACCAAGCAAGGCCTCAGCCTGGGGTTGAACAGAGTCTGTTGTAGTTGCCCCAGCTTCTGCCTTAGGCACGGCATTAGAATTACCCTTAGCCTTACTCTTGGAACCAGGTAAGGTCTCGCCCTGGGAATTGGCCACAGCCTTGGCCTGGACAGAGCCCACTGTACCTGCTCCAGCATCTGGTTTAGACACAGCACTAGAATTTCCCTTGACCTTAGTCTTGGTACCGGTCAAGGCACTACCCTGGGAGGTGGCCACAGACTGGGGACAGGCACCTGCCCCAGCCTCTGCTTTAGGCACAACATTGGGATTGCTCTTAACCTTATTCTTGGCACCAGGTAAGGCCTCACTGTGGGAATTGGCTGCAGTCTGGGACTGGGCAGAACCCGTAGTATCTGGCCCAGCCCCTGCTTTAGGCACAGAATTACGATTACCCTTGACCTTATTCTTGGCACCAGGTGCAGTCTCACTCTGAGAACTGGTCACAACATTAGGCTGGGCAGAGCCTGCTGTAGCTGTCCCAGTCTCTGCCTTAGGCGGAGGGTTTGGATTGCCCTTGGCCTTATTCTTAGTACCAGGCAAGGCCTCATTCTGGCAATTGACCACAGGCTGTGGCTGACCACAAGCTTTCTGGTCTGCCTTTGCCCCTGCTTTAGAAACGGTATTAGAGTCACTTTTGCTATCAACCTTGGAATCAGATGAGGCCTCGGCTTGGGTTTTGGTCCCAGTTTGAGGCTGTGCGCAGGTTTTCACATCCGTCGCAGCTCCCGCTTTACACTTGGCTTTGGCTTTGCCTCTAGCCTTCCCTTTAGTATTAGGTAAGGCTTCACCCTGGTTCTGGGCCACAGTCTGAGCTCCTTCCTTAGGTATGGCATTGGCATTGTCCTTAGCCTTGATTTTGTCATCAGGCAAGTCATCACCCTGAACACTGGCCAGAGGCTCGGGCTGAGTACAAAAAGCCACGTCTATACTAGTCTCTGCCTTAGCCACATCATTGGTATCACTTCTGGTTTTATCCCCGGTCTCAGGCAAGGCATCCGTCTGCAAATTGTTTTTTGTGTTTGCCTTGGCCCCTGCTTTAGCCGTGGCATTGGTATTACCTTTGCCCTTAACCTTGGCATCGGGCATGGCTTCAGTCTGATCACTGATTATAGCTTGATGATCTGTATCGGTTACGTCTGCACCAGTCCTTGTCTTAAATACAACACTGGCATCTTCTCCGCCATCGATCACGGCACCAGGCGTTGCCTCGGCCTGTGTTGTGGCCACAGTCTCAGGCTGTATTATACAGGCTCTCGTATCTGCCTCGGCTTCACAAATGTCATTTGTATTATCACAAGCATCATCCCTTGCCCCTGGTGAGGATTCAGCCAGAATGTTGGCAACAATCTGAGGCTGAGAGGAAGCCTTTGGATCTACCCCAGAGCCTGCCTTTGATGTGGCTTTCAGATTCACCTTGTCATCAGCCTCATCAACGACCGTGTCATCGTTTTGGATTATGGCCACAGTCTGAGGCTGCGCATAGGACTTCACGTCCACTCCAGCCACTATGAGGGGCATATCATGGGGAAGTCCATCAGTGTCAACTGCTGCATCAATTCTAGTCTCAGAGTGAGTCCTAGTCACGCTCACAGGCTCTTCCAGTGCTCTTATCGTGGCTTCCGCCACGATTCCAGTCTCATTCATGGTTCCAATCTTGACTACTTCCTTGGTCACTGCCAAGACCTCACTCTGTGTCACTGTTACTCTGTTAATCTCTGTCTCTTTTTCAGTGAATGTACAAGCTTCTGCTTTGGTCTGGGTCATTGCTTCTTTCTTGACCTCTGCCCTGTCAGCCACTGCCCAAGCGTTAGCTTTGGTCTGAGTCACTGCCTCTCTCTTGCCTACTTCCTCAGCCTCAGCATCAGTCTGTGTGACTGCCTCTTTCATGGTCACCTCCTTGGCTTGGACTGTGACTTCAGTGAAAGTCACTGACTCTGTCATGACCATTGCTTCCACCAATGAACTGGTCCCAGAATGAGTCTCTATCTCTTCCTCAAGCATTGTCTTGGCCTGACAGTTGATATTGGGTCTAACTAGAACAGGGATCTCGGTGTCTACTTCAGCCATGGGCTCACCTCCTTCTCCAGTTTCTGGTCCAGTTATGGCTCTAGTCTCAGTTTCTGTCCCAGCCATGGCTTCATCTGTGGCCAAGGTCTGGTTCTGTACCCCAACCACACTCTCCGTCTCGATTCTGGACCCATTTCTGGCAAATCTGCTCACACTCTGAGTTCTTCCCTTGGTTAATCTGTAAATGCAGTAACAGGTGCCAGCCCAGATCACTAGTCCTGCAGTTGCCCAGCCCACGTCTATAACGCGGCCCATGTAATCACTCTTGCTAAGGCAAGAGCAATGTATAAGAGGGCTTACTCAGGCTAGGAAAGAGGGTGGTGTGTCTGGGCAATGGTGCTTAACCCCTTAAAGGCCAGTAGAGCTGCCACCGGAAGTAGACCTAGAAGTGGAAGAAGGAAAGGAATTTAACCATCTCTTCTAACTCTACGACATTATACAGATAGATACAAACAGGAACAGGAAAGCATAGAAACAATGTACTTGTTGGGAGGAGAAGAAGAAGATCAACCAACTTTTCATCACTTATTTTATTTCTCCTACCCTCCCCAGGGCCCAGCTATTTTCATATGCAAAATAAATTGTATCAAGGATGGCAGAAGGGCAGATGATGAATGGATGAAGAACAGAAACTCCCAGAACTAGAGTTTTTTTTTTTTTCAACATCCAGAACTAGAGTTTTAAGGGATCTTTTCTGGTTGCCGTTATGACTGGTTCCCACTCATACAAACCTGGAATGAATGAAGACGTCCCCTCTTCTATCCTTTCGCTCGGTGAAGCTCCCTAAAGCATACCTTTAGACCTAGAGAAAGGGCAGACAAAGGGAGAGATCTAAAGGAGCTTGTTTTTCATGGAGCAGCGTATTATTAGCAATTTACTCCCTCAGTTTATCCAATGTCCTTGGGTGCTTATCAGACTCTTTGCCATATACCACAATCAAGGTAAGGGGTTGGGGTAACTATCAGGAATGGTGAGAAAGATGGCTGTGAAAAAAAGAAGACAAAGCTCCTACAGCTTGTCGCCTGTGGAATGCACACTGGTCTCCACTAACACACATCCGAGGCAGACCTAGACAATTCCCACCCTCTTACCGGTTATTCTGATCAGAAATAATTTCTTCTTTGCTTCCTTGCTTCCAATGATCTCAGGCTCCGAAGCAGACATGCAGGAGGATCTATAGGCAAGTAGATAAGCAGGAGATAATGGAGACTGTGTCCTTAGTAGAACAGACAAGCACCCTAATTCTTAGCTCCAATGTCTGCATCACCAGGGTCCTGGTCCATTTTAACAATGTATCCGGTCTTATGATCCCATCTCCAGCCTTCTTTGTCACTGTCCAGTCCGCCCTCCCTCAAGTATTCCCACTGTTTTCTTTACTGCAATTAACAGGTTGTACTGCAGCATTGTGGAAAGCAGCCATGTGGAGCCAAGGCAGAAGTGCCAGCCACTGAAGCCCTTTCAAGCTCAGCCCACCCTCTTTTGTCATCCCCAGCCACTACCCACCTTCATACTAACCTCCATAGTTCCAAAACCGTCTCCCCCTCTTTCCTTTGCTTTCAGGAATAAAAAGCCCTACTTCAAACATGAAAAGCCCTGGAACAGACAAAGAAAAGGGAGAGGGTGAGTGCTGAGTGCTTTTGATAGCCTAGCATGAAACATCTGTGTCCCCCGGTCCTGCCTTTCAGCATTTAGAGACTCAGGCATAACCTAGGGCTTCACCTACCCTGAACTAAATAGCACAGAGAGGGAGAAAGGAAAAGGAAAAGGGGGGGGAGAGAAAATTTATTTTTAAACCACCTGTAGGATTCTAGGTCTTTCCTAAAAAGTCCACCATTTCCTTGATCAAGATGGCCAGGTAGGCATGACTATCTGGAAATTGGAGGATGGCGGAAGAGATGGAGGCCCCAGATCCCGTGATTCTTCAATCATAGCCTGCCATCTGCTTCCCTGAAAGCCATCCCTAGGAGTCTCAGCACACGATACAAGGTGTGGAGGAGGGCTTTTGCTTCTGCAAAATCATTATCCCATCCCCCAAAGGCTATATCAAACAATAGTACTATCATTTTACACAATAATTTCCATTTTTCAATATCATCTGACACAAATCAAAATAATCTATAATACAGTTTTGTCCTTATTGGTATTCGCCATAGAATTTAAATGAAAAGCCTAAAGCCCGATAAGGAAACAAAGCTTAGGTAAAGTTCTCAGGCTAGCCCCACCCCACATCCTAATCGCATATAAATACAATATATTCAAATACATATATATGCACGCACACAAATATAATAGTGCCTACGTGGCTGCATAGAATCCATACAGAACTTCAATGGTTCAGTATTGGTGCTCACACTAACCTCCATTGATTCTGTGCAGTTCTCTTGTCTCCGTCTCCGTTTCTCCCTCGCCTCAACCACAAACAGTGCCACACCGAACTATTGTCCAAAAGGAGAGAGTAAAGGCACTGAGTGCTTAGGCCAGCACCAAGGCCACGCATCCCAACAGTCTCCTTTTTGGAATCCGGTTGTCAAAGGTCCCTCCCCTCGTTCTGAGACACCACCCCTACCGAGCCCGCCGTCCAGGCACTAAGGCCCACCATTTTCTCAGCAAATGCCACGGTGGCGCGCGTCCCTCCTCTGAAAGGAGCAGGAAGCCCGCGGACATGTGCGGGCGCCCATTGATGGAGTTAATTAAAGAGGATGGACATCTCCCTCTGTATTTCCCTCTAGAGACTCTCCCCACCAGCGGCCCTGTCAAAGCACAGGGTTCCCTTGCGCTGATTCAGCCAGGGGCTGGGGGACGCGGGAGAATCGGAGGGGAGGGCTCCTTGAACTTGATCAGCATGGACACCCCCCTCCTCAATCCATCTCCGCTGCGCCGCCGAATTCCGAGGCTGCAGCTAGCAGGGCCGTGGCGCAGCGGCCCCGGGGCCCTTACCTGATCAGCTCGCCTCGGGCCCGATGCCAGCCCGCCGCGCAGGGCAGCGGGGAGCTGGTAGCCAGACGCGAGTGACGACTGCACCCAAGGCTGCGTCGCTCTGCAGCTCCAGGTCACGTGAGGGCCGCACGTCATCGCTCGCCCTCCTCCCCACAACCCCCCACTGGTCGGAAGGCAGTCAACAGGACCCCCATCAGCACGCACAAGCACCCCCCCTCCTCGGGTCCAAGCGCGGAGCCCCAGCGCGCCCCGCCCTGTCACTCATCTCCGCTCTCTCCAATCTGAGCGCCCACAAGTGTCATCACCATCTAGCGGTTGGAGTTTACCGGTCCCTGGTTACTAGGAAGGGTCTGTACCCCCACCCACTCTCAGGCCTTGGCTGTAGCCTTTTCTGCATCTTTGAGGAATCCTTTCTTTTCCTCTCAGGCTACAATGCCAACGCTCTCCACCCTCTCTCTATACAACCTGCCCTCCCTTAGTAACAACCCCACCACCAAATCGCCTAGAGACAGGAAAACCGTGCAACCAAAGCCTTCACTTTCTTTGTCTGTATTCCTTTTTTTGTTAACATCATTTTCTCCCCGTGATGGGAAAATACAGTAAGGACATTTTCATCTGCCATGAAAATATTCAGGTTGTAAAAAATTTAAAGACTCATCCGTTTACACAATTTTATGACACTTTAAAAAAATGCTTCTTGGTTGCTATAAACGACTTCTGAGCTTTGGAACAGATGCAATTACTGACATTTTAAATACAAATTTTTCCTAAACAAAGCCAGCCCGTTCTTCAATGCAATCGGCAAATTAATCTTGAAAAAGATGTATGGTTTTCAAAACTTGATATTTTTACAGAAATAATTGAAAGCTTTTGAAATTTTGGCTGTACTTACCTTTGCCTATCAGGCACCTGAGTACTTCTTCACGGAGGACCCCGGATGATTAATAAACACCAAACTCGGATGAAGCCAGTGCCTTACATACTAGTGACTGACTTCAAAGGTTAACCTGTTTTGTAGCCCTTAATGGGCTTTTTTTTTCTTTTTTGGATTTTTACATCAGTCTCACCACACCCACAAAAGGAGCAACTGCTATCACGTAGATAGAAAGGAGTCTTAACAGGTGGAATTTTTATCCTATCGTGGCACTAGTGAGGTCTCCCCAGGTTCTGCCATTTCTGTTCTGTCTGTCACCGTGTTGATGGCGATTGTTCAGCAATTTCCAGGGCATGAAGGTCTGCGGATGACTGCATATTGTTAGAACACCATGGCCGTGAGTGTTCTTTTCCCCCTCACCAATGGGAGAACAAAGTCCAGGAATCCAAGCAGTCCCCAAGAGAGGCTTTTTCCCCCTGCCTTCCTAAATAACTACTGCACCACCCTCACAAAACCCAGAACTAAGGAACAAAATATGCGGGAGAGTCCCCAGGCGCCCACCTGTTTCCACCGGGGAATCATACTCCAAATATAAATGTGCAGGCAGTCTCCTTCTTAGAATGTTGAAATACGACACCCCAGCTTGAGGCCCTCCCTGGTGAGGGGCCGCTGTTTGGAGGCAGCCCTTTCAAGAGGTGAGCCAGAGAGCTCATAATGCCTGAAGACATTACTAATGGATCTTCAGAACTCAAAATTTACTTTCTCTACCGACGAAAAGAATTCATTGATTGATTAACATAAAAACTTAAATCTGTGTTTATGTTTAAAAAGAAGTATAGGCATTGGATGGCAGAAGAGTGTGATTTAAATATCCTTACAAATCATTAATAAAATAACCCAAATAGAAAAAAATGCCAAAGACTGAAACAGATTTGTTCACAGAGGAGAAATAAAAGGATGAAAATATCCAACAAACATATATAAAGATGTTTGATTTTAAAAAATACGTGAATCAAAACAGCTGTGACTTACTGTGTTTCAGCTATGATGTCAACATTTAGAAATTCAATAATACTATTGAATGTTTTATGTGAATATGGAAATTTCTATACTCTGTTGGAGGTGGATATTCTAATTCTATCTTTTTATGGAGGGCAATTTGGTAAAAATCTATTAAACGATAAATATAACAGCCTACAATTCTTTCCTATAGTAGTTCTATTCTCTGGTATTTAGTTACGCGTAACCTTACAGAATGACATCGATGCATCCTGCCACACCCGACTATGATATTCCTTGCAGTACTATTATTAAAGAAATAAAAAATGTGCAATGGGCTGGAGAGTTGGCTCAGCAGTTAAGAGCACTTACTGCTTTCCCGGAGGATCTGAGTTCAATTTCCAACACACATCATGTGACTCACACATCCAGAAGACTCACCACCCTCTTCTGACCTCCAAAGACATGGGCACACACACGGCATGCCCTCACATAGACACACACACACACACACACACACACACACACACACACACACAGGTTGAAAAGTATCATGAGTTAGAGAGATGGCTCAGTAGTTAAGAGCACTGGCTGTACTAGGCATGGTATCCCCTGCTTTTAATTCCTACGCTCAGGAGGCAGAGGCAGGTAGATCTCTGTGAGTTTGAGACCACCCTGGTCTACAAAGAGAGTTCCAGGACAGCCAGAGCTGTTATACATAGAAAGCCTGTCTTGAAAAAAACAACAAAAAAGAGCACTGGCTGATCTTCCAGGAGACCAGAGTTCTATTGCCACCACCCACGTGGAGGCTCATAACTGTGTGTAACTCCAGTTCCGGGGATCTGACTCCCTCACACAGACATAGATACAGGCAAAACAATCAATTCTCAAGAAAATAAAAATAAGTAAATCATTTTAAAAGTACCAATAGGGGAGAGATTAAGAAACTTATGATAGATTTTTATATTGTGGATGATTTTTTTAAAGACAAGTCTCGTATGCAGAGGGGACAATGGAACTAATTCTATTGTTTACTGTTTATTTCTTATAAGTACAAGTAAATAATTTTCCCTTATTTTCTTTATTCCTTTTGAGATAGGATCTCCCTCTGTAGGCCAGGCTGGTCAAAAACTCATATCAATCCTCTTGCCTCAGTTCTCCAAATGGTGGAATTTTAGGTTGTACCACTATGCCTAACTCTGCCTTCTACTTTTTGAGACAGGCTCTTACTACGTAGGTCAAGCTAGTCTCAAATTCATGACTCTTTGGCCTCAACTTCCTGATCTGGAATTACAGGCATGTGTTACCACAGTCCACTTAACCCGCATTTATTATCTATTGTCCTGACCAACCGCTTCATATGCCAGTGATCATTTTACACTTCCCGTCTGAAAATGTTACTCAGGTCTTTCTCTGTTCACCTACATTTTCTTATCGATTGTAGCACTTGCACAGTTTTGCCTATTAGTTATTGTGCTGTTGTACAGGATGCACATATAGTCTCTCATTCTGTCACTATCATCTTAATTTTACAGCACGTTTGACATTTGACGATCAAATACTTAAACTATCTCCTGTGTGGCTCCTGGCACTATATATATACACACCCAAACGTCAGCAACATTCACAAAAAGCAGTCCATTACTGCCCCAACTAACTTTAAAAGATGATGTATCCTATGCGAAATCCTCACTTGTGGTCAGATCTGTTTCGCTGGATTTTGTGTTCCACTGATATATATATATATATATATATATATATATATATATATATATATATCTTACTACCTTATAATTGGTGGAGATTCCTAGCAAGTGTTGGTGTCTGGAAAAATCCTCAAATATTATGCGTTGTGGGGACAAAGTCTTACCATATACTTTTGGCTGACAATAAACTCAGAGATCTGCCCTTCTCTGCCTCCCAAATGCTGAGACTAAAGGGCTGCACCACCATGCCAAGCGTAGGTAGTTAATATAGTCACCTCCTCAAACATTTATCAAAGAAGTCAGCTAAAGTATTCTCTTTTAGCTATTTGAAATGCACAATGCATTATTGTTACCTACAGTCGGTCTAATGTTCAAGCAGGCATTACCAGGTTTTATTTCTCCTATCTATGTAACATTATACCGCTTGGCCAACCCCTGCCAATCTTGGCCAACCCTGTCCTAATTGTTCCTCAACCACAAGTAAACATTGTTTTACTCTCAGCTTACAAAAGAAACTGTTTAATTAGGGGTTTGCTTACAGTTACAGAGAATTAGTAGTGAAATTTTACATATTATTTAGGAAAACAGTACTCATGGTCCCGTAAAAAAACTAAAAAAATGATATTTATCAATCTCTTACACAAGGCAAGGTGTTGTGGGAATATTTTTATCTTTTTGTTAAAAAAATAGCAAGTATAATTTGACAGCACTATAACAGCTTATGCCCCAAGCATTGAGAATAAGGAATACAGAAGAGAGCTAAAACACCTGCTTACCTACATTTAGAGTCGGGTGGTGGTGCTGCACGCCTTTAATTCCAGCACTCGGGAGCAGAGGCAGGTGGATCTCTGTGAGTTCAAGGCCAACCTGATCTACAAGAACTAGTTCCAGGACAAGCTCCAAAGCTACAGAGAAACCCTGTCTTGAAAAACCAATAAAAAGGTTACTTTTATTTTATTTACTATATATTTTCTAGATTTATTTATTATATGTGTGTATGTGTATTTGGTCTGTAGGTATGTGTACCATGCGCATGCCCAAAACCTGAGGATGTGAGAAGTAGGCATATGGTTCTCTAGAACTCAGTTTACAGATGGTTCTGAGCTGTCATATCGGTGCTGGGAACTGCACCTGGGTCCTCAACAAAAGCAGTAGGTGCTCTTAGTCACTAAGACACCTCTCTAGCTCTATATTTGTTTTCTATGTGTATGTGTTGGTATGAGGCTTCTATGGCATATTTGTGGAGGCCAGAGGGCAGCCTGCAGGAGTTGTTTCTTCTATTCTACCATGTGTGCTTCAACAGTGGAGCTCAAGGCAGCACGTTTGGCAGTGACTAAGCCATCTCACAGACCTGTCTCACTCTGTTAGAAAGGGAAGAAACAGGATATGACTTGAGACTACATCAAAAACCGACTATCTGATGTAACGATGTTCAATCAAGATGCTACTTCTAGGGCTGGAGAGATGGCTCAGAGGTTAAGAGCATTGCCTGTTCTTCCAAAGGTCCTGAGTTTAAT